CGGAGCGGGAAGCGGCCCCGCGCAGCCGCCTGCCCGCCCCAGCCGGCCAAGGATAGGCCCTGCCGCTGAGCTACTCCCCGGAACCGCTCCAGCCCAAACCTCCTCCTGCGGCAACGGTAACGAACGAAGGAGAAACACACTTCAGCCAGAGCAGCGGAAATCGTAATTGTTTCAGGTAATTCAGATGGAATTAAAGGAGTCAGAGAATGGGACTGGAAAGGAGCACAGTGCGTCATCTGGTCCAACCTCCCTGCTCGAGCAGGGTCCCAGAGCACACTGCACAGGACTGCATCCGAAATATCTCCAACGAGGGAGACTTCACAGCCTCTCTGGCAAAGAAGCTGTTTTCACGTTCAGGTGGAACCCCCTGTGCATCAGTTTCTGCCCACTGCCTCTGCCCTATTGCACAGCACCACAGAGAATTCCTGAATTCCTCCATCCTTTTGACGCTCTCCCCTCAGATACCGTAGACAGGGATGAGGTTCCTCTCACTCGTCTCTTCTCAAATTCTTCTGTAACTGCATGGAAACTCTTCTTGGTGTCTCCAGCTCGCATCACTTAGTTCTCAGCCCCTCATTTCTCTCCATTACATTACAGCTGGATCTCCCTTGCATTGTTCCTACTGCTCTTTTCAGGAAGATACTGAAACTGCTGCTGCTGAATTACGAAATGGTAGCTCCCACCGTTCCCACAGCCCCATACTCAGTGGTGGAAAAAACTCTTGCTCCCAGAAGTTTTCTCCCTAGGTCCTAGAAGTCCTCAACTCATCTGGCAGGTTCTGGAGTGCTTATGTCCTCAGCTGAAAAAGGCAGGCAATACAGAAGGCACAGGAACATTCCAAGGGCTGGGATACAAACAAGTCTCTGCACAGCAGGAGGGACAAGGTAGATGCAGAAAACTGAGGAGCTGGACACGAACACCGGGGACACAAAGCACTCAGGTCCTTGTCATGGAGCAGTTCCTGAATATGCCATTTTACCACTGTATCAGGAACAGCTGGAGTCCTCTGACCATACACAGAAGACTAAATAAAAAACAATTTTCTTTGCAATTTTTTTTTTTCCATAGGACGCTGATTTGGATTAAAATATATTCAACCTCCTATACATAAAACCCAAAGCACTCCCCTTTGCCTAGTAATGGAAGTTAACAAGACTTCAGAAATTCTGTTAACTTGAGCTAAACATCACTGGACCTATGCCACAATATTCTCAATATGGTTCCTAGAATTTACTGTATCTGCTGACAATAAATCCTGGTATATCCAATTTTATAATTATTTTTGTGTTACTTTTAAAATAGTATATACTTAGAGTCCAAATTAAAGAGTATGAGAAGACATGTTTAAATAAACCAAAGATTTCTGTTTAGTTCTCTTCTGGGAGTAAATTTTCATCTCTTCAGGTCCAGTCCAATTCCAAACACTTTCTGGAAGTTCTGAAACATTTTGGTAAGCAGGATGTTTCTCTATTTCAATTTTTTTCTGAAAAGACAGGAAACAAGCTATCCTTTGAGCTTGACTGCCAGTAGAAAAGAAAGAAAACAGGGTGACACCTTCAAATTAGGCCAGAAGGCTTGCAGTGTGCAGCTCTGAACAATGGAGATTTTGAAAATCTAAGACAGGGACATGAAATACATTTCAGTATTCTAAGTTCACGTGAGGTTCAGCTACTCTTGGTTTTGCATCTTCTAGCTACCCTTCTTATCTACTGCTAGCTACCCGCCTTCCCATGCTGCATTTGCCGCCTGCATGCCTAACTAGATCAGCACAGAAACAGTAACAAGGAAAGGCAAAAGTACTAGGAGGTAAGAAAAGATGAACTGCACTCCTTGTAAATCAACTCCCTTTTTCCAAATTACATTAGCTAATGGTGGCAGCACCTTCACGTCCTTTCACCTTCAAAAGCTGATGTCTCATTTAAGTAATTCCAAGAAACATGAGGGGGGGGGAGGAGTGGAGGCTGAGAAACAGAAAGGCAAACTTACACAAGGAGAATTTTAATAGCTTCCTGTAAGTTACTGTTGTCTGCATTAGAACTAATTTTTTGGCATCAGTCCGGTATTGGAGCATCAGCCTTAGAGATTCCTAAGCAGACAGAATAAGGTACACGGCGGTGTCTGCACACACCATGCAGAGATGTCTGAAGCAGGACACAGTTTTACTATTAAACATTATTTTTTAATATGACATATTAATTTTAAGGGAGAATGTGGAACTACAAAAGGGCTGTGTTACTCAATAGCCAAATGTCTCTACAGCCTGTATTTTGTATAGCTGATAGCACCAAGTCACTAATGGATGAGACAGAAGTGTTGACTTTACAGGGACAGTCAGAAACCAGATTTCCTCAACAGTGAACCCCGGAGATGTTTTACTGTGAATGCTGAAGGAACAGCTATAAAAACCATGTGAAACTTTAACTTGCACTAATTAGCATTTACAGCTTTTTTTACTGCATCAACACATTTAAAGCTGAATCCTAGCTTGCATTTCAGCTGGTCAAAACCAAAATGAACCACAGAGCTTAAACTATTAATACTAGATTTGAAAAGAATATATATCACAACTGAATAAAGGCCACATATGGTAATATGGTAAATGCTGTGCCACAATTAAATACAAAGCTAACAATGCTGTGATAAAATGCACCCTTTAAAATGAGACTGTTATCTTAAATACCTCTTTAAGAGATGAGAAATTACACCATGTATTCTTTACTTTCTAGTGTAGTTATGTAAAACCTCCAGATACTGCCTAAAACTCAGGGGATGAAGCTAAGAAATCAGTTGTGTTGGGAAAAAAGAATGGAGTTGATATCCACGTCTTTGAGGTAAATTTCAGTATATTCACATAAATTTATCCTGAATACAAGATCCTGAACACAGTCTTTCTCATACCAGTTCATAATGCCCTCACCTACCACACTTCATTCTCATCTGTCTCATCCTGACCTCTTTAAACCAATTTAATTAGAGATGCCTTAAAACTTAAAGCACTTCCACTTTAACTTTAGTAGTGAAACTAACCAGTTTGCTAAGATTCCAGATGGATCAGACTTAACTCCTGCCTCCTGAGCTATTGTGTTTGGACAGTATTAGCACTTAATGCTCTTATTAGCACAATGCATTCATGCACTCACAGCGTGCCTCACCCCATCCTAACTCCCAAACCAGCCCTTATCCTGTGCTATCTCAATCAGATTAGCTGCCCTGCATTTTTCTGTCAACCTGAGTAGTTCTGAGCTGCCATACCTAATCCCTAATTCCCAGGATCTAGGAAATTCAGCCCATTTCCACTGCAAATTACCTGTGCCTCCTTATTTGCTCAGAGATGCCACAAAGTATTATCATCTGCTCTGATCCATTTCAAGATCCCCAGAACCATCTCTAGCTGAGACACTTGCACATTAAATGTGTCTTTTCTGCAGTAAAAAATGTATTTAACAGCACACAAATGCTAGTGGTGTCCAAGCTCTGGAACAAATCCTGCAGCTCCATTCCTCTCCATCCTTCCTAATGTCTCTGCAGGGCCATAGATCTCTCACTGCCAGCTCTGAGACAATGAACCATAAAGAGAAGTACAGTTTGTTAAAGCCTGATGCAGGCTTTGGCTCAGTAGGTCTATCACTAAAAGGATTTTGTCTCTGATTAATTTCAACCTGTCAGTAGAGGTCTCTGGGCAGAATGAAGGAACCTGCCACCCTGTATATTTCCAATTAATATAACTTCCCAGAAGGTGCCTGGGCTTCCATCAATAACCTTAATTAAGTACAACCAAATAGATGACAACTAATGATTAAGGGAGTGGCTCTCTTGGGACCATGGCAGAAAAGTGTCTACGGCAGGAAAGTAAATGAGGCAGATGGCTGCTTGTCTTACACAGCAGTGCCTGTTAAAACTCTGATGTCTCTGATGGCTGAGCTCCAATTCAATTTATCCTGTTCCCAGTCATTTAGAAGTTGTTCTTCCATACCACCTAAAACTACCCTCAGTCAAAGTGCAAGAGGGGCCTTTCTGCTAATTCTCCAGCTGCTGCTGCAATTTGCAGACCATTTCCAGAGAAAGCAGCTCATTTTCCTTTCCCTCTAAGCATATACATCCACTGTTGCTTGGGTTTCATTCTACTTACCATTAGAGAGGATCCAGAGATCTTTTGGTCTGAAAATTACTACAGTGACTGAAATAAGAAAAGGCAATTCTTTCTGAACTCCTTCTGAATTCTAGAAATCATAATGTTAGGTATCAAATCAATATTCTTCAGCAAGGTTATGTGCTTCCTACAAATTGCAGTCTGTGCTAAAGGACAGAAAACACAGACTACTAGCTCAATAAATAAAATAACTGGCTTCTAACAGGAAAAATAGGCAGCATGTGGTATTACAGTTTTGGCAGAAGAATGAGAACTGTGGCTTGTCCAATCAATGCAATGCATTGGACTGCTAGATTTTTAACCTTCACTCAGCTATTTTTTTCTCATCTCTCACCTCTCAGAGGGCATAAATTTATTCTAGCTTGTCAAGTAAATTCTGAGACACAGCATCAATAGAATCTACTGCTGTTTCATGTGAGCAGTAATGAGGAGATATTTATTTTTAGAACATTAATGCTAGTGAATAAAGCTATCCTGACAGCTTTGAAAGCCTTCCTCTAGTCACACAGTAAACAGGCACAATGTATGACAAGCAGTGAAGCCACTCACTCTATTCTGTAGGATCCTGCCAAAGCGTTTGTACAGGTAATCATCTTCAATATCTGGTATTTTTGATAAATTCCTGATTAATCTCAGTTTTTATGAATATGGGTACCTGCACTGTAAGAACATGATTAAGATAAATGCTGAATCTATTATGTTCAGTCTGAGGATCACATAGCCTTCCAGTAGTCACAATATGAGGGATGACATTAAGCCACCATCTTGCTGGTTTGGATTTAAAGCAGAGAGAAATCCAGTTAGCAGCCAAGAACATAAATCAGGAGCCTTTTTCCAAAATAATAATGCTGTAGTGACTTTCTTCCTTGCATTAGTAGAAACACAGCCAGACGGGTAAATTGAATTCACTTTGGCTATGACTGGCAGTACACACTGGCACTGTACAGCAGTCCTTTCCAATGCATTATTAAGTAAATTAATTGCAAACTCTTCAAGGGTATGAGACCCAGCTTCTCCTCCTGTCTCCTCCAAATTACAGGAGAGAATGAAAACAGAGCCATGGCAAAATGTTTACTCAACATTTTGCAGTCCTTGCTGTGCAGAGCAGTTGATGCTGTGAAGGTCAGTCAGCAGCCTCGAACACAACTGCAATCACAACTCTTTATCCAGCTGGGCAGGATTCCCACCTCTCCTGTCCCTGCAGAGTTTGCCTGGCAGCTATACAAAATATTCACACCATGCACTGAATAAATATTCCAGCCTTAATTCTTGCCCACCATATATAAAAAGTGAAATAAATTCACTGTACTAATAGAGGCAATGGACACACGGTTTATAAATCACAGACGTATTGTGACACAGAGGAGATGAAAGCTAGTATGACCTATTACTACAGAAAAAAACACTGCAGATACAAAAGAAACAAGGCATGGGTGAGCTTCACAGCTAAGAGTGGTAGCTATTATTCACCTTTTGAGAAGCTCACCACCTCTAAGACTGTAAAAAATAGGTAAACCTAGGGAGACACTAAAAACTCAGAAAAGAAAGAGTCAAATGACTTGACTCAACTACAAACTGGAAGTTGTACTTTGAAAACCAGACAAAACCCACAGAGTATCTGTAATGAAGATACATACCCACTTTAAGAAGAGAAATGACAATCAGAAAAACTCATGCTTGGCAACAGTCATCAGGCTCAAAGGAACAGCCTTTTGTAGTACAGACACAGAGCAAAGCAACAAAGAAACCCTGCAGGACTAACAAAATAACCTTGTCAGCCGTTGGTTGAAATATATGGAGTACAGGAAGTAAATAGTTGTGAATTGGCAAATGAACAAAGCAGGGCCCCAAGGAAGAAGCTTTTACCTACTTTGCTAGCTACTCTTCAGCTTGTACCACCACATCTTCAATGCTACTGTTAGCTGAGAAACATGCTCATGTTGCTGAGCAGGAAGACAAAATGGGGCTTTGGACATCACTCATCAAGGACTAAGCAGGTGCTGATGAACGTATTTATACTGGTACTTCCTCCTGTTACTCCTGTAGGGACAGTGCATTAAATGTAGCATGTCTAATTTTGGCAACAGCAGGTAAATTATAATAAAGACCTGGAAAATATTATAAAAGCTGCATTTCTGAAAAATCTACTTAAATTAAAGGATAAAATAGTAAAAGCAGCATATGCTAGTACCTGGTTCTTATTTTTTATGTTTAGCACAAAAAGCAAGATCACAATTTCTCCTCCTGGCTATTCTACCAAACACTTGAATATGAAAGTGTTTTGAGATATAGCTAATTAAGAGAATGCAGTTAAACAAGACAATTATTTTCTGTACAGAAACGTGAAATGAACTAACTGAAGGCATTAATTCAAACAATTTACTTGAATTTCATTAACTTGTTTAGTAGAAGTCAATATTCAGAATTAAAGCAGCCTTAATTTGCTTTATCTTAATTTACTTCTCAAGCAACTGGCCTCTTCAATTCCAAATACACATCTGTAATTTTTCATCTGATTTGAATAATCCAGTTTACCAGTTAACTCAGATATATTGTCTTAGGTATTCACGTCTCCTGAATAACTGAAAAAGGAACTTAAACTGATAAATGCATTTTAGCTGAAAAATCACTTGTTACTTCGAGAAGAGACATAAAAACTCATTCTTCTTGTAAAATCAATTAGGTACAGTGCATGCATTTTTTACATTTATAAAAATACAGTGATTGTCATGGATCTGAAGTCTTTTCTGTCAAGGTGCCCAGATTTTAACATGACAATATTGTTATGTCACCTGAGAGGCAAACATAGAGATGATCATTACCTGTACTGGCATTATACCTGTAATACCATATCTATAACATTATGAAGGGGAATTTAAGGGGAAAGAAAAAGCTATTAAGTGACCCATACAGCACTAAGCAATAGACAGGGATGTAATTACAGAGAGAATGTAGAGTCACTAGTTTTACTACACCTAACTTACTGACAGACATCAGACTTCACACAGCAATGCATAAACTGCCTTACAAAATCAAACTACACAACAGACTTTCATCGCCAACAATCTGTCTTAAGCACAGATAAACTCTGGCTCTTTAGGCAATAGTTAAGTTCTGAAGAAGGAGGGGAAATGGAGAAAGAAAGTAGCATTATTCCATTAGAGACATGACTGCAGTGTGGCCATATTTGCCTGTGCTTTTGAACCTGTGACACTGAATTAATTAGTTTCCCTTCACTGCAAGATCAACTGTTTCAAAAAGATACCCACAATGGCAGGGGACAGTGGAGTTTACTTATACCCATAAGCAATACAGGCTATGCAGCAAGGAAGATCTATCCACATGCTGTCACTTAAGAACTCTGGTCACACACAAGGATCACAATGTGTTATGATTGGTAGAGATACAAAACCACCCCAGTGCACCTGGTTCAGCATACAAAGACTTCAAGACTTGTATCCAAATTGCAGAGACCACTGGAAAGGTACCATTGTCAAATTGTATTTCTCTTTGCAGAAAGCTGCACATACTCAAAAGGAAAAAATCCAAGGCCTCTGAATTGCTAGCATTAAAGAGATAACAATAAGTCAAAATTACAGATTTCTGATGCAATTTTGTTCTACACAATACCAGGTAATACACTTTCTGGTGTGAAATACTTTGTTGAAAGTTGCAACTTAAATAATTTGTTCTACCATCCCACTGTACATATGTTCTCCTAGGTCATCAAAAGAGGAAAATTAGCAGAGAGTTAAGTGACCTGCCCATAGTTATTCAGTTACCTTGTAAAGGAGGAGTATTTGAGACATGTTACTTGGGGAGAAGAGACTTTATTGCAGCAATTTCATAAGGCACGACTCCTCTTCACAGATGTGTCTTTTCTCATTCCTTCACTGGAAAAGCCATTTGTTAATAGCAGCTAAAAGTGTATCTTAATGAAGAGAATATGTGATTGATAAAATACTTTAAAAAAAGTACTAATATTCTGAAGACTTAAAAAATCCCTGAAATAACTTAGGGCACTTGAGCAAGAGCCTGAAGTCATGTAAGACACAAGATAAGTATAGCAAATGCAAAAGGAGAGTAAATTCCTCTTTTGCACCACATGTTGACACCTGCAAGTCAGGAGTGGCTTCACACCACAGAGCTGAAACCCAAATCAAAGCAGTTGCTAACATTTCCACTGCCGAAATCCAACCACAACAGAAACTTACCCACTTCCTGCACCAGAAAAAATTGTCTCTGTGAGAGGTTTTTTGGTTTTTATCAAGGCAAACATTTGAAGTGAGGTAAGAATTCACAGACTCAACTTTCAATGCAATTTTCAAATCAAGCTTTTACAAAGATAGGTCAGTGTTGCCTCGTCCTCTTGAGAAAAATCTCATGCATGTAGTCCCAAAATCTTCCCTGATGAGACTCATTGCGGTGAATCATAGCAGTGAGGGCCTCACCCTGATCAAGGCTTTGCCAATAATCCTGTAGCCACATTTCTTTCCAACTGAAACAAAAAAAGAGACACCATCACAAACAATAAAAAAAACCAAATTAGTCTGCAGCTGTAATAGCACTGAAACCATATTTTTCTTTCCATTAAGACAAAAATAGGCCCAGAGATGGTAATAATAATATAAATGCCTGAATAAGGGCACATGTTTGGAAAACTAGCCTACTTGCATAAAGCATTACACCCAAGATTAAGTGTCAGAAAGGAACAGAAAGAAAGAAAACACTTGCAAGATGAGCTCTATGGAAACAACACCAAAAGGAATTCCAATATCCAAATGAAGACTTTATCAAAAGGAATTTTAAATTGCTGATATTCTTCTTTCTTTTAAGAAAATAATTTCACTCTAATTCTGTAAATTGGGAAAAATCAGTATCCCAGGATGAACAGGACTATACAAATCACCAGAAACTACCAATTACATACACCTGAAACATTCTGATTATGAGTTACAGATTTATCCTTCATCCTGGATGATCATGGGATTCTGTTGCAAGGACTACCCTACACCTGGCAAATCTGATACACTGTTGACATTTTTCTCATCAAAAATAAACTGTGACGTAAATATAAAATAGAACCAGCAAAACCACGATGGTTTCACAATTCCTTTATCAAAGGAATACTGGTTTCTCTTTTCCTATGCCACCACAGATGAAAACTTTTGGTAACTGAAAAGAAACTGTCACTCAGTCATCTTACAGTTACATTCTCAAACATCCTATTTTTGGAAAAGGAGCCCTTATCAATGCAACAAGCCAAACACTTCTCTTACAAAGATGGGAGTTTGAGACTAACTGGAGATTCTGGTTTCCCCATGATAGATACTACACTCAGCAGAAGCACTGCAACACAGAGTTTTCTGTACAAAGGAGCTAAGAATTCAATAGATTATAGTGACTGACCACAGCCTGACACATACAACTGCTTGTTCTACAGGTTTTTTTTCCTTAAGCTCACTTGGGTGTGAAACCCAGCAGTCCAAATACAAGTGTGGCTGCAAGCATGAGGATTTAGAAACCACATCTCTACACATACAGCTAAAGGTGCAACTGCTCCAGCTACACAGAGAGAATTCTGACTGCAGCAGCATTCTGGCAATTCAGCATATCTATCGACCCTAAAAACAAATTACATCTGGGAATAAGGGTTACAGAGCATGCAAATGTGTAGTGTAACCTTACTGTAACTGAGTACATGCTTTAGCATAAACTCCTTTCTAGTCCTCTGAGTTCAGAAAGCTCCAGAACCACAAATCACAGTGTGTTGACAGACCTTGCATGATGCATATAGTCCATGACTTGTATCCCCACTAGATCTGTTTCATTCTTCCACCGTAATATTTTCTAAAGTACCAAAACACTCCACTGACTGGCCCAGGAGGCAATCATCTGAATTGATCACACTGTTAAATAACATTACTGTCAAACTCAGACGAAATATGGGCATGCTTAGCTAATACTTTGATGTCAATTTTATGCTATTGTCACACCAGTTGGAATTATAAGTAATCATGTCCCATTTTGCAAATAAAAATGGTTAAAACTTAGATTCTTATCAGATATAAACTACTGTATTTTACAGGAGATGTCCACGATCATCCCCTGGAAATTATGGATGCATGTCTATTAAGTAAGTAGCACTGAAGGTAAAAAAACTATGTAAAAAAAAAAAAAAAAGTAAAAGCTTTCCTGGAACTATTTTTCCAGACACATCTCATGCCTACAAATGTGGAGAATAATAATGGGTACTGCAGCTTGAATTATGTACCAGCTATTCAAAACTCCCTGCTGATGACCCCTGTGAAGAATGATGGAAGCACCTGAGCTTGCAAGTGACACTGACAGCAACTCTGTGTGCCTTCACAGGTACTTCTCTACTGCCACCTGATGCTCAAACAGAAAACCTATGGAAAAGCAGGAATACTTCGACAGAGTAGGGTGCTGCATAGAACACGACAAAGAAAAAGAACATTTTGCTACCGAGACTGAGAAAAGGCATTACTATGAAAAAGGTCCAGTAAATCAGTCAACCAACAGACAACAAGGGACAAGAAGCTACTCAGTCTATTCTCTGTCCTGCACAGTCCCTCTCCTAAATAAGTGGGATGGCATCCTTGAACATAGCCAGAGTTTTGTCACACAAAACAGCATTAACTCCTGTATTCTGGGTGAGCCTAATTTCTGGGTGAGCCTAATTTCTGCTCTGAAGTCTACAGGAGTCAACCAGGCCTGCAGTGAACACGGGCATCTCCGTTCTCAATGCATTACTTTGTACGAAGGTATAGAGCTGCTTTTGCCTCAGGGCTGCCAAGTGCTTTACCATCACTGTACTGGAAAACATCCATCCCTCAAGCAAAGAGTCTAAGATACACAGAGGGTAGCCCCATTGCCTGAGGTAACAGAGCATTTTAACAGAATATTCTGAGTATCGCACACTCGTGTTTCAACTGCTAACACCACTGTGCAAGCCTCTTGTTCAGCCTGAGAGTTACACAGGATTAGCAGGACTCCTACACCACCCATAAGATATACTGTAGAATGTAACTGGAGACATAACAAGAGCTTCTTTAAGTACAAAGCATTATTAAAGTTACATCTCCTGCTATTTGAAGTTTTTTTTCCTTCAAAAAGCATAATATTGGCACATTACCTGTCTCCCTCAGAGAGGTCTTCAACACTTCCAAACCCAGGGGTTGGCATAGGACACCCCATGTGCTTGAACTGAGCTATATGAGGTTTGGGAGCTGGAATTTTTCCACGAGACTTCTTGTGTTTCTGCTCCTCTTTGACCCGGGTGTTCTCCTTGTCACAGATGAAACACTCAAAGCCATTCAGGTAATTGGGCAGAGTCATGTCATTCACACCCCACTCCCGCTTCTCCAAGCTCTCTAGCAAGAACTGGTTTTTGATTCCACCAACATTTTTATATTCTAGATATTTCAAATATTCCTCCCCATTCTTGTCCAGGAAATCAAGGTACTTTGCCAACTCTCGGGGGCTCTCAAAATCATCTATAAGAATGATGGAGAGGTTGTTTGGCATCCAGTCCCGCACAGCTGGGGAGCCTCGGTACACTGGGACAGCACCCAAGTGCATGGGACGCCACAGCTTCTCTGTCATGTAGTCGTCACATATGGCATTCTCCAAGGCCAGATGAAACTTGTACCTGGCAATAAAAGTCATAAATTCAGAATCTTCTGTAGTGGCTGTAGAAGTGTCTCTAAGTCGTTCACTGGGGAGCTCACGGTTATGCAGGCATTTCCCATAGGAGTCAACCTAGAAGAGCAAACAGCATCTTTACAAAGTGATTTGTTCCCCTGGAATCTGCTTTCAGACCTTGTAGTTCTTGTAAAATTCCTAACTTGGATCAGTTCTCAGCTACGCTAATTTAGCTTCATTTTCACTCCAAGTTCTTTCCCTTGAGACTATTCCTAGAGCCCCAGTTCTATGAGCTTTAGAGAAAACCAAGTGCTGAGTTTCAAAAGCAACATTAGCCACACTATAGACTGAGGGGCGAGGGGAGTGGACAGATGCCACCCAAAAATGTATTTATTACCAGATAAATCAGAAACTGACAAGTAAGAAACAGTATTTAACTCTATGTCAATTTAAACATCCTCTTTCCACTTAAGAGACCCAGTGCTTTTCCAAACAGTTGTTACACAGGGTTCCAGCCTGTCTCAGCAAGCTGACAGAATTTTCTGTTTGTTAGACTGAGAAAAATTGATGCAGAGAGCTAAAAGAATACTGTCTAAAAATACAAGACAACATGCTTGAGCTGGAACCTGCACCATACTTTGAGAAGACAGTAATTCTTTAAAAATTCTTTTGCCTTTGCTTCACTACTTAGTACATGATGATCTTACACAATAACTGAATCATGACCAATAGAAACAACAGAAACCACAAGAAAAACAAGTCTCTGGCAAAGTCTAAAACCAGATTTTTTTTATTTTTTTTTAATCAATCTAATATCCTTCACAATTTTTAAGAGAAAAGTATATTCAGTATGCTTTTCTCCTGCTTGGAAGAAACTACATTTTTTTACTTTATGAAGCTACTTAACATCAGCTGTACAAGACATGATAGAAACAACACGGTCCTACCACAACACAGGCAAGGAGCCGACTCTCACAACAGAGCAACCCGCCTTTAAATTTCACTCCTGTACTTCCTAACAGGAGTGAGGCTTGTAAAGGGACAGCCTTCCTGTATGCTAACTTCAAAGTCCAGAGATTTCAGCAACTTCTATCACTTGACCCACAAGAACGAGCTTATTCAGGCTTTGCCCAGCTTTTGACTGATCCCGAGTGCGGTCAACTCCACATCTAACATCTGCATCAGTCCTACCTACTGACACGCGGTGTAGTCTAGATCACGCTTTGGGAAGGAATACAACTAGTTTTTCTGTCCAGCTTGTAGTCAGCATGCATCCCGTTATGATTCGTGTCTTGGCTAAAAACAAGGACAAACAAACCCCATTAAAGGAGGCGGCAGAGCGGGGCAGCCGGGTGTTGCCAGCTCCGACAGCAGCAGCACGGCACGGCTTCCCCGCGCACCTACCTGGATGTGCTTCATGAGCTCCCGCACGTAGCGGTCCCTGTCCGAGGGCACATCGCAGTGGGACTGCAGGTACAGCACCGGGCCGTAGCCCTTCCGCCGCCACGCGTCCTTCTCGGCCAGGGCCACGGCCGGGGCCCGCAGGTACCCGCTGCCGGGCAGCCACTGCAGCGTCAGCGGGTAGTCGGACTCCCGGCGGAAGGTGGCCGTGTAGTTGAAGAGCCGGATGCCGGGCGAGTGCGAGAGCACGTAGTTGTTCATGGGGGACTCCTCGTGGAAGAGCGCCCAGGTCTGGTGGGGCAGGCGGGGCAGCGGCGCCTCGTACGCCCTGAAGTCGGTGCCGTAGAAGATGAGCGCCTTGGTGCGGCGGTGCCGGGCCACCCGCCGGCTCCGGGTGACGAGGCAGGAGCCGCGGGGGCAGTCGATGCGCTCCGTGTCGCCGGGGAAGTGCGGGAAGAGGCTCCCGCTCCACCACAGCAGGATGGGCAGCGCCTTGTTGCTCCGCGTGTCGTTGTTGCCGGGCCCGCGGTAAGACGCGGCGGCGACGAAGGCCGCGCCCGGAGGGACGGCGTCCTGCG